TGTCATAACATCCTCTTTACCAAATATATCACTTATTCCCAAATCATCATCAAACTCTTCTCTTCTCTTTGACATTGCCCTGGTCACAACACAAACTGGGTACACAATTTCATTATACTGTATATCACCATCAGGTTTACACTTCTTTGAATCATCCAACACATCTTCATTTTTCACAGCATGGTTCACCTCTACAGTAGCCTCTTCATCAAATGGATTTTCACACATAATAGGCTCTGGGACCACTTTGTCACCAGCCAAATCATTACCCAATAACATCTGTACTCCAGGTACGGGAAGTTCAACGCTTACCCCAACTTTTACAATTCCACTCACAAATCCACTCTCAAGATTTACATTATGTAATGGGACAGTCATCCCTGACCCCAATCTCTCAATATTATAATTTTCTTCTCAATTCACAGATTTTGGCTTACTCACACTGTACTCGTTACCTCTTACATTACAAATATTCCACAGCCTTCCCGCAACAGTTAATGCCGCAGACTTTGGGCCACTCTGGCACTGATATTTAGCATGGCCAATTTCTCCACATGCAAAACATTTTATTGGTGGTCTCTCCTGTCTACTAACACAAGGGTTATAATTGGACTGAGGTCATGGATGTTTATATTGTGTTTGTCCTTGTGATCTATTCCCTACAGTATTTTGTCACACCTGGTTAGGTCGACCCCCTTCAGAATAATTTGGCTGCTTAACATTTGAATAGTTTGATACTTATGATTTCTGTCATAATTCTGGCTTCTACTATGCCTTACTCCACCTTGTTTATGTGACACCTCCTCCTTATACATTTTGGGTGCCACTGCTAGCTGGTCAGCCAATCTAGCCGCATTCATCAAATTCTTCACTCTATTCTTACTTATTTCATACTTAATCTCAGGGAGCACAAGACTTTTAAAATGTTCCAACAGGACTAACTGTCTTATGTCATCCACAGTCTTTACTTCTTCAGACTTACACCATCTATCAAATCTCATCCCACATTCTCCAGCCACTTCAAGATGAGCTTGTCCACTCATTTTCTTAATGTCCCTAAACCTTCTCCTGTACACTTCTGGATCCATTTCCACCGTATTCAACACTGCTTCTTTAACAGTCCCATAATCCATAGACTCTGACACACTCAGACACACATACGCCTCTCTGGCCTTACCCTTAAATTTACTCTGCACCAATATTGCCAGTCACTTTTGTTCCATTCTTTAATAGTTGCAACTTTTTCAAACTGAATAAAGAAGTCCTCAGTTTCTTCTTCCACAAACTCAGGTAAATAACATACTCTTATTAACTTTATCTCCATTTCCTCTCCTTATACCTGTCCTCTCCTGTACTCCTAATTTCCTGAGTTCTACCTCTTTATCTGCCTGTAGTTGCATTTTCTAAAATTCAAATTCTAATTTTAACTTTTCAATTGCCACTTGTTCACTTATCTGTTTATAACCACCACTAAAATTACCAACACCTTCAACTTCCTCCAATATTGACAAAGACACCAATTCATCAATTAACTCTCTCTGCATTTCACTTTTGATATATGACTTCAGAGAAATTTCATACCAAGATGCCACTTCAATTAGTTTCTCCTTATTACACTGGTACGAAAAATGATCATCATTGGTTTCCTGAAATTTATCAAAATTTCCTGCCATGTTTCCAATTTTTTCACAGTAATCACCTAACCTCACAATTTTTACTTGTTTACAGAAATATTCACCAGCACACCACACGAGAGCACAGTAACTAACCTTCAAACACTTCGGTACAGCCTGGTTACACTGGGACAATCAGCATACTCGACTCAATCCACTCCCGGACACAGGCCCCCATGTTACAACCTTCACACACTCTTCTAGGACTCACTAGAGGATGTATAGTCAGCCCATAGGCCCATTATATCAGAGGAGACTCTGAAATAACAGCTTTTGTTAACAGAGATATTAAATTTTAAACACACACCCTTACCTTATTTAACATAAGAAAAACATAAGAAAATAAGGAGTCTGCAATAGGCCGGTTCGTCTGTGCATGGCAGCTCCTGTCGAAAGTTACTACCATTCTCTATCATCCATGAATCTATCTAGCCTCCATTTAAAACTTTTCAGCGTTGCAGCACTTACTACAAAGTTGCTAAGCTTGTTCCACTCGTCCACCACCCTATTTGTGAACCAGTTCCTTCCTATCTCCCTCCTTAACCTAAACTTATCCAACTTAAATCCGTTGCTTCGAGTCCTGTCCTGCTCGGATATTATAAGAACTTTATTTATATCTCCTTTATCGATTCCTTTTACCCACTTAAATACTTCTATCTCTTCGTCTTTCTAGGGAATGCAAGTTAAGTTTCTTTAACCTATCTTGATATGGAAGGTTTCTAAGTCCCGGAATCATTTTCGTCATTCTTCGCTGCACCGACTCCAGTGAATTGATATCCATTCTATAATAAGGGCACCAGAACTGAACCGCATAATCGAGGTGTGGCCTGACCAGCGCAAGATATAGTTGCAATAAGGCCTCTGCACTCTTATTACTTACACTTCTAGATATAAAACCTAATACTCTGTTTGCCTTATTTCGAACATTAACGCACTGTTTTCTCGGTCGTAGGTCCGGGCTTACAAGTACCCCTAAGTTTCTTTCACAAGTCGACATCTCAAGGTTGGTGTTGTTAAGGCTGTATACATTGACAGTATTTGTTCTTCCAATATTAAGTACGTTGCACTTGCTGGTGTTGAATTTTATTTGCCATTTTCTAACCACTCCTGCAGTTTATTTAAATCCTCCTGTAGTGCATTTGCATCCTGCCCTGAATTAATCTGCCGCCCTATTTTGGTGCCATACGCAAACTTGCTTATGTCACTGCTGATCCCGGTATCTAGATCGCTTATGTAGATTATGAACAGGAGTGGGCCCAGTACTGACCCCTGGGGAACCCCACTGGTTACACAGCCCCACTCAGATTTAACACCATCTACGCTGACCCTCTGTGTTCTATCGGTGAGCTATGATTTTATCCCATTTAAAACTTTTCCCTCGATACCATGAGCCTTAACTTTTCTCAGAAGCCTCTGATGCGGTACTCTGTCAAGCGCTTTGCTAAAGTCTAAGTAAATAACATCGTAATTTTCGTCATTATCTACTACTTCGAAGACTTTCCTAAAAAACGTCAGCAGATTTGTTAGACAAGATTTTCCCTTCGTAAACCCATGTTGAGAGTCGTAGATTTATTTGCTTTTCTCTAAATGCGATCGGATGCTATTTGCTATAATTGATTCAAGAAATTTCCCCACTACTGACGTCAAACTAATCGGCCGGTAATTTGACGCTGATGCTCTGTCTCCCTTTTTGAATATGGGTACTACATTTACCTGTTTTCACAAGTCTGGCACAACTCCCGTGTCAAATGATTTTGTAAACAAATTTACGAGGGGCCCGCTGACAACCTCCCGAGAAGCTGGCAGGTGTTTATTTCAATACCACTGTTCCCATTAAAACTTGTTTAATCAAAACACAGCTTTAAAATTACAACAAAATATATTTAACAACAAAATATAATAAATATGTGCTCCCGTCCATGTGCATACAAAAGGCCACAAATCAATTCACTCAGAATAATGTTATCTCCACCAAATACAATGCTCTCTTACCACTATAATATTCTTTAGACTATAATGAACATATTACACTTTAGTTAACACCATAATTATCCATGATTGCCCATATAATAATAGATAAATATGCACCACACACGCTTGGCCCTCCTATCCCCCTCAACCTAGCTACCGAGAGAGAGGCAAAACCAAAACAGTTTCAATACTTTCTTGTTTTATTAACATATAATTTCTAATTCCTTTTTTACTTCACACCCGCTGCTTACAGTCTTTCATAACTGTATATAAAATAAGAATACATTCTACAAAGTTTACATATTGAAACAAATACTAGTATACATACTTATTGAAAATAATCAAGACATTTTTCAAAGTCCTTACCCTAAGCTTGGAAATTCGATTCTAAAGAAAAACGGGAAACAACAGTGACGATAGGTATTGGGAAAGGCGAGTTGTTCCAGCCGTATGTTGGCAGTCCTGATTGTCAGCCATATGGCAACACCTAGTGGAGGGGGGGGGGGGGTTTATGAGGATACACTTACCAACCTTCCCGCTATATCACAGTGTATACGTATCGTTTCGGAACTCGTCGATCTCACCCTGCACCGATACTTTTTGGTGCGAGTGTATGTTATATCCAACTCCTCCCATAATAATGTTTACAGTCTTCAAGGTCTTCAGTTGACAAGATCAGTATGCTTGAACATTAAGCATCTCGAAATATGATAAATTTTTAGTTAAAACTTTAAATACAGTACACGTCTTTGAATTAAATATCTTTGAATTAATTAGGTGTTAATGAAATATAAAATAGCAACTTCGTGTTATGCGATCTATTTGTTACTGTTAGTATCCTAGTTTTCTAGTATCTTGACACAAGGACCAATCAAAGTATAATATAAAGAGTTACGATATACAAATACACAAGAGACTTTGTATAATATTAAACACAATTTGTGTTTATGGCCCAGACGTGTTTTCTCCATGGTCATGGTTTGATGAACACTTTTACCAGACATCCTCATAACTTTGGCTTGATGAACACTTGTACCAGACATCCTCATAATTTTTTCTTGGTGAACACTTGTACCAGACATCCTCATAACTTTGATTTGATGAACACTTGTACCAGTTGTTATAATCATTGCATGATGAATACTTGTATCAGGCATAATAATTATGAGGTATCATCAAAACAAGTGGGTTAGCATGTGGACAACACATTTATATACAGACACACACAGGAACATCCGGGGGACAGTCTCTTCTCACAGTCTTATTACTTTACGTCGAGGCAATATGAAGTATTATAGCATTACAGTATGATAATGAGAATAATGTTGAGATAATTAATAATGTGTTGGTCCACAGAGGCTGCGGGCAGAAGGGTTCCCGCCGTTGGCTCGCTGTGGTTCTGACCCCGTGCTGCACGGCGCCCCGCCACAAACTGCCATGAACACCGGCTCCTTACCCTCCGACATACTGCCTTCCACCAGCTCCACCATACCTGTTACCCGGAACCATCGCAAACACCGAAGGGACCACAAAATTCGCGACGCTGCTGCCAAAGGTCAGTAAACAAAGGGTATTGTAGCATCCCTCTAATAATCCAAAGGAAAGGCGTGAAAACAGGGCAAAGTATCATATTGAGGGAGAAATAGAATACTCATATGTACTATAAACGCATATAATGTTCGACAGTGCGGGTAGACGTGTCCCTGATAAATACAGGGATATTCATCTCTCCATGTATAGTGACGAATGATAGAATGTATATAAATCTACAGTGTCCCTTCACATGTAATAGAAAGAATGGGAAAGAGAGTATGAGGCAAGTAAAAGTAGGTACCTGTAAGCATGAGCCAGCCATACATTCTAAGGAAGGGTTGACACTGCTTGTTGCATGGTTGATACACTAGCGCAAAGCACTTCAAAAGGTATTTTCTCCAAAGATCTTTGAACTGATTGGCCATGGCTGATGGCAAGTCATGGCAATAGTGGAATGACGGAAGATCGTGCATATGGTGGAAGGTATCCAGCACGATAGAAGGCCATTAAAATAGCGGAAGGTCATAGGAATGTTGGAAGTCATGGTTGTATTTCACGGCTGTGATCGAAAACTCCGCCCTGGAACATCAAATAGAATCGCCTCTGAAAAGAAAAAAAAATAAATAAAAATCCCTTCCCTTTTATAGTAAACTATAAAACCAATGATTCATTAACACCCTTTTAGAATCCAGTAAAATTAAGAAGAGCCTGGGTGAATATGGATGGTTCTATTAGGAAAAAAACTACCTTTTGCTACATATTTAGTGAAGGTCAAAGAAGAAAGCTTGAAAAACCCGGGTGAATGCGGATGGTTTTATTAGGAAAAAAACTACTTTTGCCGCCGAGTTAGTGAAGGTCAAAGAAGATAACTTTAAATTAAAGGAAGTGATAGCGAGGATGAAAGAAGAAGACCCGAGACAAGGAAAGCCCGTGTCTGACGAAAACTCTGGCGAATGGGAGGTTGTGAGGAGAGGAACGACCAAACTGGTGGTGAGAAAAGACACCAATGATACGACAACAGTTAAGTGTAAAAACTATTTTAGTCCTTTGATAGACGAATTGGACGTTAGCATAGTCAGGGACAGGGCAGACAAGGAAGGTACAAAAACCTTAATTGTTGGCGATTCCCAAGTACAGTACCTGGATAAAGCTTTTTGTGGTAAAAATAAAAATAGGATGAGGGTTTGTTTGCCAGGAGCTCGGGTGGGGGATATAGTTGACAGGATGGACAATATCTTGTCTGGTAATGGGAACAAACCCATTATCTGCCTCAATGCAGGAGGCAATGATATTGACCGGTGTACGAGTGAGGAGCTTCTATATAAGTTCAAGACAGCTATAGAACGTATTAAGGTGAAGGGAGGGATCCCTATCATAATTATGTGGTGTCCTGCCTAGAAGGAGAGTTGGCAATGAATGGCTGTCATGGGAAGTTGGTGTCAACGGCCGTCTTGACAGATATTGCAAGTCAATATTAGTCCCATTCATTGACAACTGGGACAACTTTTACGGCAGAAGGGACCTTTATGCTAGGGATGGGGGTTCATCTGTCTAGCAACCCTAGCTGACTCTCTCGAGAGGGCAGTTCAAAAGATGTCGAAGTCTTTAAACTGCTAGGGGAACATATGGGCACGGAGGTGGAGGAGACTGCAGTGTGAGCCGATAAACAAAGTTAAAGGTTACAGGGAAATAGTGCTAGGAATGATGACAAAACTAAATTAGGCAGGGAATTAAAACCTAAATGCGTCAAAGGGAGAACTCAGATCACGACTACCTTAAATGTCTACGACGCAAACAGTAGAAGTATGAGAAACAAAATGAATGAAATCAGGGCGTTGGTATGTATCGAAAAAATCGATATAATAGCATTCCCAGAAACATGGATAAACTTAGACTCACGTGAGTTACCTGCAGAATACCAAATTGCAGATTAAAAATTATTCCATACCGATAGGTAGATTAGGAAAGGAGGCGGAGTAGCAATCTATGTCAGGGATAATCTGAAGTGTGAAATAAATAAGGAAATAAAAACTGAACTGAATACAGAAACAATTTGGATAGAATTAACCGATGGTATATGAAAATTAATCGCAGGAGTAATAGCAGACCTCCTAATCTTGATAGAGTTAATGAGTGACTTACTTTGGATGATATGCGCATGGCATCCAGGCATAGCAAAGTCTGTATACTAGGCGACTTAAACTTTATCCAAATTGATTGGATCGACCTTACGGGTAACTCAGAATCAGAGGATTTTCTTGAAACAGTTCAGGGCTGTTTCCTAAGTTAATATATAGCCGAACCCACCCGGGGTAATAATATACTCAATTTAGTTCTGTCAAACAGAGAAAACCTCATTAGTAATGTCGAGGTAGGGAACGAACGTGCTATCACAAAGAAATAGGATTCCAATTAGAATTTAATGGCAGTCGCAAGGAAAATTCCATTAAAATCCCAGATTTCAGAGGGGCAAACTTTGATACGCTGAAAAGGCAGCTGAGAGAAGGGGTATCATGTTTGAGGATGGATTACATGACCGCATACAATGTACCCACAGAGGGCGACCTCACTTTACCTGGGGACCTGACAACGATATCCTCACAAAATATGACGGTTGACGATGACCTGATCACGAGATCTGAGGTTGACGAGTTCCACAGTAATTTAAGTAATGAATTACTTAATGCACAAAGGCAGAACATACCACACAAAGAACTCAGATCAGACAACAATGACCCTAAATGGATAAATAATTAGTTAAAAAATATTATTGGATACAGGAAGGCGATAGATAGGAGAAGAAATCGTGGTGATGTTTACCTCCGAGATTATTATAAGGTATTGGCCAGTAGGGCTAAGACCGAGATAAGAGAATGAACTGAGGGTAGCAAGGGAGGCGAAGTCAAATCGCAAGAGATTCTTTCTAATGTATCAAACTAAAACATGAGAACAGATTGGACCAATACAGTCAGATCCCGGCGAGCTAACTGATAACAACGGAGAAATGAGCAATAATCTGAATATATATTTTTCAACAGTTTTCACTACCGAAAATTTAAACATGATACCCAAGGCACCGATTATATACAGAGATAGTGAAGAAAATAGATTAAGCGAGATAGTAGTGACTAGTAACGATGTTCGTAAGCAAATAGACAAGCTAAAGCCTAATAAGTCACCAGGTCCCAATGAGATATTTGTCAGAGTATTAAAGGAATGTAAGGCAGAGCTTAGTATGCCCTTAGCAAATTTGTTTTACATGTCCTTAAAAACGGGTGTAGTACCAGAATCCTGGAGGATAGCGAATGTAATACCGATTTTCAAGAAAGGACGTAGATCACTATCCTCTAACTACCGTGCAACAGTTTAACATCAATTGTAGGCAAATTACTGGAAGCAATAATTTCAAACTCTATTCGAAACACCTGGAGAAGCATAAGTTGATCAATGACTCCCAAAATGGCTTCACAGGCGGGCTTTCATGTCTAACTAATCTATTAACATTCTTTTCAGCTGTTTTCGAATCAGTGGACGAGGGGCACGACTATGATGTGGTTTATCTTGACCTTAGCCTTCGACAGAGTCCCCCACGAAAGAGTAATAAGAAAAGTGGAGGCTCATGGCGTAGGAGGAGCTATTCTAAAATGGATTAGTGCGTGGTCACAGGACAGGAAACAGCAAGTGAGCATTTAGGGCACTAAATCCGACTGGCATAACGTCACTAGTGGAGTACCCCAAGGCTCAGTACTTGGACCATTATTATTTATATATACATAAACGACATAGATATCGACGTAGACAGCTACCTGACCTAGCTTGGAGAAGGGCAGGCCCCTAAGTGCTCGTGTTAGTGACCGTAGGAAATGGCCGCCGTGGATCGTTGTGTTGTGGGGGAAGAGGGGCGGTGTGTGAGGAAAGACGACCCCCTGGCCACTCTGTTAAGTAAGCTGGAGCAGTTGAGGAAAGAGATAGACGTTTTAAAGGGGGAGAACGAAGCACTCAGGACTGAACCCCTTCAGGTAGGTGCCCTGCATATGAGGACACCTGCGAAGGAGGAACAGGCATGGAGAGTGGTTGTTTCTAAGGGGACTAGAGTCAGACTCAGGAAAGTTGAGCAGGGTGTGGAGTGCAGTAACCCACAGGATGAGGAAGAGAAGAGGCAGGACGAGGAGGAGAAGAGGCAGGACGGTGAGGTGCCAGGAGAGAAAAGGGCAGTTGTTCCAACCCTGCCCAGTGGTAAGGTCGTGGTAGTTGGGGACAGCCAGGTGAGGTTCTTATATAGGACTTTTTGTGCAAGAGATAGGCAACGTAGGACTAGTATGTGTTTTCCTGGGGCTGGGATAGGGCATGTAGCTGAGTGGATAGATAGGGTTTTGGCAGGGGAGGGTACCAAGCCAGTAGTGTCTTAGTGTAGGAGGGTAACGACGTAGGAAAGGTTAGGAGTGAGGAAGTTTTCAAGAGGTATAGGGAGGCACTAGGGAAAGTTAGAGATAGGGGGGGGGATCCCGATAGTATGTGGTGTCTTGCCTAGAAGAGGAGTTGGTGGTGAATAGCTGTCCAGGGCAATTGCTATAAATTGCCGACTGGAAAAACATTGTGCAAGCAATGGTTGGGCGTTCATTGATAACTGGAAACCATTCTATGGCAACGACTACCTGTACAGTCGTGACGGAGTACACTTGTCTAGCACGGGGGTAAAGACGTTGTCTGCATCCCTGGAGCGTAAAATTGTCACTCTAAATGGGGGGTTTCGCCAGGAGAGAGGGGTCGGAGTAAGTGGGAGTCAAAAAACAAGCAGGTCCTGGGGGAGTAAAATTGGTTACTCAGGACAAGGGGTAAAACAGGACCAGGGAACGGTGGGTTTAAATGTATTCTGTACAAACAGTAGGAGCGTTATAAATAAATAGACTTGCCGAGAGCAATTGCATGTACCGAGAATGTAGACGTCATAGCAATCACCGATACTTGGATGAATCTGGCGAGCAAGAACTTTTTATCAGAGTACCACATAGAAAGGTACAA